AGGATATGCCACTCGTTTGTTAAAGGGACTGAGTATTTCTGCCCACCAAGAATTTAAGTGAAGTTCTGGTCTTTTTTGAGCTTCACTTTGCCGTTCAATAAATTCCCGTCTGACCTAGCCTCACCAGTACCTCTAATGGAATTAAAAATATGATTGCGGTTTTGTTAGTAGTTCTCTTACATTTCATGCCAAGATCTTGGTTTCATTTTTCTACTTGTATTATTTTATAGACATTAAACATTTTTGAAATTACATCTTTTATAAGAAATTTCGTATATGTTAGTGACTGTACTCTTATACTGCATGAGCAAAGGAATTTTCGTCTTAACTTCTTCGTTGACCGAACGTTATCTGTCTCTTTTAATATAGTCTTTTAATGCATTGACAATAAAACAAAACCTGTATTTCGCTCGAATTGAGTTTCTTTTTTCTTTCTATAAATTCATATGTAGTTTATGCCAAGTTTCTAAAATTAATACTTTCATCGTGTGTACATCCTTGCTTCATTCAATTTTCCGACAGTGCTTATTTGATTTTATAATAATTGGCATAATGTTGGATTTATATCTGTTATTGCCACGCGCGATGGCAGTTTATTGCTCTTGTCTCACAGAATTTAATTTTCAGTAATCCTCTTAATGATCAACGCGTCTCGCCCACGCATATACAGCCATCTTATAGCTTCATGGTTGCTCTGTCAAGAATGGGTCATTTGCTTCGAAAATAAGACAAATTTGAAGGTATTAAGATCGCTCTAGTCTTTCTCGCTAGTTCTTCAATCTTCTCTCAATTTGTACTACCTTCCTAGTCTTATTTAGCTATTATACATATGCCCTTATACTTTTTAAAAAAAATCATTATTCTGTCAGTAATAATTGTACGACCTAAAAAATATTTCTCTTAAGATAAAATTTATTCGCCTCCTAATCTTTATTTCCTTTGCTCTCTGTCTTATTCTTTACTCCATAACCATAATTACTTACTAATCCCAAAGTGTACCTATGCTCAGTAACTGTGTTTACTCAATAACTTTGTTTGGAACCTTGCATTCCTTGGTTATCTTTACAAGACTCGATTTGATCTTCTCTTTTTTCACAATGGGAAGCAATTGTATTGAACTAGTCTTATAATTAATAGTATGCTATCATATACTATACATCCTTTTAATGGATTCCTCAAAATCATATTTTCTATGTTCTTTAAGGATAAATTAATTTTTCGTTTTACTGAGTGAAAACTTTGGGGCTCGTTATGCAAACGATCATCCAATCTTATGCACAATTACCTCGAACTTTTCGCGTTGATGCAATTTATTGGTTAATTTTAAACTCTTTATTTTATTTCTTTTTAAATTGATCTGTAATAGCCAGATATTGATTGGAATAAGCAAACTTATTCGAGGTGACCTATTCCTATAATTTTTTCCTTCTTAATAATTTACATTTTCTCTAAATACATATTTTGGGCAGGAGCTATACCTAAGAGTGACATTTATATGCATCTTCATGTCTTATTTAAAAGTCTGGCACTATTTTACCTCGGCTTTAACAAGAGATTTATTGGCCATACAATAAAGTTTCGAATAGCCTTGCGTATCATAAGGCTTTATTATCCTTGTCTATTATGTTAATGGTCAATTAGACTTAATTGCTCTAACATTTAGTATAGCCTGAGAGTAATAGCCAAGTTTACGCCCATTGCCACATCGATCTTTTCTCTGATTGCTTATTCGCCTGCCTTCACTGCATTTCTTTTTCTAACCCCATCTGTTTATCCTATCATCAGAACTGGCTCGCGACGCAGTTGAGCATACATGGGCTATAGATTTACCTCACCTGACTCAATCTCTACCGCTCAATCCAGATGGATTACCTATTCCTGCTGTTCCCCCCTTTTTATCCAACCCAAAATTCCCTACTGAGAATAAATCACCTCGGGCTCATAGCTATGTCTGCCATTCTGGTAGTCTAAGCAATCAAACGAAATTGGATACATGCGAAGCAAGCAATCGTAATATATTTTCAGCTCGCCGCTCCTCAGATGATATGACTGCCCACGAGCTTTTGCCTCTTGTTAACATGGATTTCGTTCGTCCCTTCTCGATTTTGCCGAGACGCCAAGTACGCTTGCATTTAATAGTATGCAATTTATTTTCATCATACTTTTATCTGCACATGCCAGAATGATGCCTATATACTCCGAAATATCGGAAAAAGTTGCGACCATAATTTTTAAAGTTAGGTATTCATAGCTTGGTTATAATTAATATTTAATATTTCCCTTTTACAGTCGGGTTTGAAACTACCGGTAGCTCTAGAATAAATAACTATCTCCACTCTACTTCGTTCAAGGTGATGAAGGACTGGTAGTTGAATTTTCCCACAATCACGTTTCCATTAGGTTTTGCATAGACTTGCTTTCCATAAAGTATTTTCCTCTAGGGTGGACTACAGTTTCAACCTCGACTAGGTCTCATCAGCACAAATGAGATTTGGACCTTGAAAGTGGAGCATATTGTCTTTCTCTACTATAGAGTATAAAAGTCGAGAAATTCACTTTAGAGATGTTCCGAATAGCATACACTAGTTTTCAATTGACTTGCGATGCACGGGTTTTTATGTAGGTAGTCTGTGATTAAATGGTCTTGCCAGGAGATTGACCAACATAGTTTAGATGCCAAATTGTGATATGG